CGCCACCGCTGATGGTGACCACCTCCTCGAGGAGCAGGCGGAGCTGGACCTGGACCTGGAGGACGAGGAAGAGGACACGTCCAGGTATGACTACGGCACGTGGATGGCGCCGGAGACCGTGTCTGTAGAAAGAGATTTAGAGAGCCAACAACGTTTTCCATTGATCTCTGATGTATAAATACATGTTACAACAATGGCTGCTGAATGGGCAACCGCACTGCGTGCTAGTGTACATCGTGGGCACGGGGGCGCGTGGTCACCGCGCTCTGGACTTGGTCAGCGACGCCGGTTAGCATGTCCGGTCTTGGCGCTGTCCCTCAACACCCCCCCGCAGTCTGATGGGTGATCGGCATCGCACAAAGACTGGAGCGGAAGCTTTCGAATGACGCCGTCGGCAGACCTTTCGTCATGACGTCGGTGAACTGTTCACCTGTTGGAATGTGGAGGACGCACAGTTCGCCCAGTTGAACTCGTTCTCGGACAAAATGAATGTCGAGCTCAATGTGCTTGGTGTGCTTGTGGTGAACGGGATTCGAGGACATGTATACTGCTGATACGTTGTCGCAGAACACAACCGTCGCCTTGTTGATGCCACAATGGAGTTCGCCGAGCAGCTGTCGTAACTAAATGCATTCCGCGGCTGCGTTCGCCACCGCCCGATACTCGGCTTCCGCGCTTGATCTTGACATGGTGGGCTGCCGCTTGGATGACCAGGAGACGAGGGAGTCACCGAGATAGACGCAGAATCCCGACGTTGATCGCCGAGTGTCTGGGCAGCCCACCCAGTCCGCGTCTGAGTACGCGGTGACGCTGAGGTCGAAGGAGGCGCGAAGCTGGAGACCGTGCGACGTCGTGCCGCGGACGTACCGCAGTATACGCTTGAGTAGCGCCATGTGCGGTGCGCGAGGATCATGCATGTGGAGGCAGGCTTGCTGGACGGCGAAGGCTATGTTAGGCCACGTCATCGTTAAGAACTGGAGCGCGCCTGCCAAACTGCGGTATGACGTCACGTCGTCTGTTGGTGGTCCGTCGGCGGCGAGCTTGTTCTTGGCTTCGATTGGTGTTGAGGCAGGTTTGCAGTTCGTCATCCCGGCGCGATCAAGGATGTCTTCTGCGTACCTCTCTTGGGAGAGGTAGAACCTGTCCTTGGTGCGCTTGACGTCGATCCTGAGGAAGAAGCGCAGCGCCCCCATGTCCTTGACGGCGAATTCGGCACGGAGGCAGTCGACAACGTGCTGGAGCAAGGCCGAGCTGGACCCAGTGAGCACAATGTCATCGACGTAGAGTAGGAGATATGCGATGTCCGTGCCGCGACGAAGGACGAAAAGGGACGAGTCAGATCGAGTTGCTTTGAATCCGATCTTGGTGACAAACCCGGCGAACCGAGTGAACCATGCCCACGGTGCCTGACGGAGTCCATATAAGGACTTGTCGAGCAGACTGATAGCGTCAGGACGATCAACATCGACGAAGCCCGTGGGCTACTGACAGAGAACATGCTCATTGAGATGACCATGGAGGAATGCATTAGAGACATCGAGTTGCTTCGTTGGCAACTAGTTAGATGCTGCGATGGCGAGGACAGTACGAATAGTGGCTGGCTTGACGACAGGCGAGAAGGTTTCACTGAAATCAATCCCTCCTCGTTGGGTGAATCCGCGAACCACCCACCGCGCCTTGTAATGCTCTAGGGAGCCGTCAGGATTGAGCTTATGACGGAACACCCATTTGCCACTGACAACATTGGCACCCGGTGGACGATCAACAAGGCGCCAAGTTCTGTTGCGCTGGAGCGCATCAAACTCAAGCTCCATGGCTGCCCTCCAGTTAGGATCTTTGAGAGCAGTCTGAGCTGTAGCAGGAAGTGGAGAGATCACAGGCGCGACGGATGAGTCGCCGGCGTGCAAAGCATACCGTGGGTTGGGTTTGAAGATGCCTGCCTTGGAACAAGTCTGCATTTGGTGACCGTGGGGCGACGCCGTGGGTACGGCGTCGAGAATAGGACTGGTGGACAGTGATGGAGTGGGGATTGAAGCACCGGAGGATGGTGCAGAATGAGTGGGTGTGGCACCAGATGTAGCAGGCGATATTGAAGCAGGAGGAGGTGGTGGGTGAGGTGCGCTCTGCTGAAGAATGACAGGCTCATCAGTTACTGTAGCTGGTCCGGCTAGTGTCGTCTGACGACGCTGAGATGCAGAACGAAAGGGGAACTGGGTTTCATCAAAAACAACATGGCGAGATGTGATGACATGGCGTGTTTGCAGCTCAAGACATTGGTACCCACGGTGATCAGCCGGGTAACCGAGAAGAACACAAGGCGTGGATCGAGCATGGAGCTTATGCGGTGCCGTTGAAGCCTGATTGGGATAGCACAGGCACCCGAAAACCCTGAGATGAATGTAGGATGGTGGGGCGCCGAGAAGAAGCTGAAATGGAGTCGTCTGACCAGTGGCCCGACAGGGACGACGATTCAGAAGATGGGTTGCCGTGGACAGTGCCTCCACCCAATACGCATCAGGCAAGCCAGCATGAATGAGAAGACTACGAACGCAGTCATTCAATGTTCGAATGATGCGCTCAGCTTTGCCATTTTTAGATGAAGTGTAAGGACAAGATAGGTGCAAGGTGGCACCATGGTGTTCAAGATGACGCCGAAAGGCTAAATTATCGAACTCTTTCCCATTGTCAGTTTGGAATGCAATGACAGGTAACTGAAACTGAGTATGAACATAAGCATGAAATGCAATGAGGCACTGAAAAACATCAGACTTGTTGCGTAATGGAAAAGTCCAGACATAGTGTGTAAGATCATCAATCAACACAAGGTAGTACTTGAAGCCAGAGAAACTAGACACTGGAGAGGTCCAAACATCAGCATGAACAATCTGAAATGGGACATAGCTAACTAAACTAGAGTCTGAAAAAGGTAAACGCACATGCTTGCCAAGCGATAGGCTTCACAAGTGGATGGCTTGGTGGAGATGAACTCAAGGCGAGGAAGAGTCTGCTGCAGCGTGTGCCTTCCGGGGTGGCCTAAACGCTAATGCCAGAGCTCGACAGTGGGCGTGGATGTGGCGGTTAGGGCCTCCGGCGTAGATGAGGCCAGAGGGTATAGCTCGCCGTCGCTATTACAGCGGAGGATCACCGAACGAGTGGGAAGATCCTTGACAGAGAAACCGAAAGCATCAAACTCCATAGAGACATTATTGTCATGAGTTAAGGAACGAACTGAAATCAGATTCTTAACAAGTGATGGAGAGACAAGAACATTTGGGAGGGAAAGTGGGGATCGAGCAGTGGGGATATGTGTGGAAGCACGATGAGTCACCGGCAGCGTGGCGCCGTTGCCGACGACGAAGGGGAATTGTAAACTGGGTGGGAAGAGGTGAGATTACCAGCGTTGGAAGACATGTGGGAAGAAGCACCGGTGTCCATGAACCATTCGGCCGGTTGGGGAGCAGCTGCTGTGGAATTTGTCGCGTTCAGTGCGGCGAGCAAGGCCTGATGGTTACATGGATCCATGGAGGGTGGTGGCGGAGTGACGCCAGATCCGGTGAAGTAAGCCTGATGTGGTGATGTGCCGGGGCGCGGGCCAAGCACACCAGCTCATGGGGCACGGAATGGCATGGGCCATGCCTGCACCATGCCAGTCCACGGATTGAATCCGGGCGTCTAGGCCGTTGGCGGACTTGGGGAGGAGAAACCGCCTGGAGATGATCCGCGGCCACGACCACGCCTGTTGTCGAAGCGGTTTGACGCACCGTGAGCAATAGATGGTGGCTTGGCGACGGTTGTCGGTGTAGTGGAGCCGGAGTTGCCAGCTAGAGTAGAGCTTGATCCGCCTTCGGTGGCGGTGGGCGTGGCAGGACACGGTCCACCAGTGGCGAGTAGATCATGCTATGCCGCCGTCTTGGCATGCTCCTTGTCGTAGCGCTCTTCCATAAGAAGGTAGGAGCGCGCCGAGAGGAAGGTGTGCGGCGGCTGCCTGGCGGTGATGGCGTGACGATACTTAGAGCTCAGGCCGCGCAGCATGTTCAGGACTTGGCTCGTCTCCCGCACAGGATGGCCGATGTCGCGGAGCGCATCCGCGAGCTGCTTGAGTCGTCCGGTGTACTGGGTGATGTCCATAACGCCCTAGACCATGTTCCAGAACTCCGTCTCCAGATAGACAGCGCGATGGAGCTCGTTGTCGTGGAATTGATCGTGGATGGTGCCCCAGACGCGGTACGCGGTCGCCTTCGGATGGCGCACGATGTCGCGCACGTCCTTAGCGATGGAGTTGTACAGCCAACTCAAGATGCACTGATCAACCACACGCCAGTCAGGATCATGGTGCTGGTTAGCGGTTGGCGGAGATGAGACGTGGGAGGTGAGGCCGAACTTGCCGAGGAAGGCGTCGAAGAAGCACCGCCATTCATCGTAGTTCGACGTGGCGAGCTCAAGAACAACGGGAATGTGAGATTTGATGTTGAGGGTTTGAAGGACTGCGGTGGGAGGCATGGTGGCGGGGGGATCGTCGCCGACAGAGGAGGTGAAGGAGACTTCGGAGGTGTCGTCGGAGTCGAAAGAGCCGAGACCAAAGAGGGGATTGTCGTTCGTGGTTGGCATGGCGACAGCCGCGGAGAGGAAGAAGAGAGGAAGAAGATGGCGATGCGCGCGAGGATCAACCCGAGCTTTGCGATACCATGTAGAAAGAGAATTAGAGAGCCAACAACGTTTTCCATGGATCTCGATGTATAAATACATGTTACAACAATGGGCTGCTGAATGGGCAACCGCTTTCACGCGCTAGTGTACATCGGGGGCGCGGGCGCGTCTTTGGCGTGGTGGTCACCGCGCTCTGGACTTGGTCACGACGGCGGTTAGCATGTCCGGTCTTGGCGCTGTCCCTCAACGGTGTCCATCCAGAACGCCGCCGCCGGCTTGGATAGGGCTCACCGGCAGCAAGGACCTCCTCTAGAGCTAGAACGCGAGGGCGAGGCTTCCACGACATCCCCGCCATGTGCCCCGGCGACACAACAAAGAACCGCCGCATGATGTCGTTGCCGACGCCGCCGAAAACACGACGAAGCGTCGCGCCGACGGTGGCCACGGCACTTCCCGAGATCGCGGAACACCGCTTAACAGCGCAGTCGACCCGTCTCGCTCCGACATTTTGCCTCGTGCGTCCGCGGAGGCGCCGCGAGAAGCCGTCGTCGTTTCATGATGTGTGTTTCGCTGCCGCACAAGCCGCAAGGCTCGCCGGTCCACAAGGCTCTCCGCGCTGCTGCGGTGTCCATTACCATCAGCGCCGTCAAAGGGCGGAGGAACTAGCGATGCCATTGCCGGCGACACAGGCGGTGGTGGCTTCAAGCACCAAGAACGGCGGGGAAATCGTGGCGAACGGCGATTGAAAGCGAAGCCAGTAGCGATGCGCCGCGTGAACATAGACGAGCTCCGGTGGTTCATTGCCCACACATCGTTTGTTAGGTTGTGTTGCAGGCGTGCGCAGCTGAGCGAGCCGACCCGATCTTTGGCGGCGAAAGCGAACAAGGCGACGAGAAAACCGGTCGAGAAGAGGAGAACATGGTGGTGAGAACATCAAGCTAGTCGCGTCTGCGGCCGGGCTCGAAACCGACAAGGAGAAGCGGGGCAAGCGATGGCGGCGGGCGGAGTCGACGGCACGGACGCTTTCGGTGACCATGTCGAAGTCGGCGTCGCCATCGCCCGCCGTGTCGTCGACCTCCACGGGCCCGAAGCGGCTCAAGGTGCACCACTACGGCAAGTCGGTGGAGTCGACCGGGCCGTACATGCGGCAGGAGGATGTTGATTTCTGTGGATCGACTAGGGTAGATCTAGGCCGGTTTCCTTTGAATACGGGATGAACAGAGAGGAAGGAACGGAGAGACGAGGAGAGAGGTGTTGGTGTTTAACCTGAGCCCTCGGAGGGAGTCGTGGAGCTGGCCATCTCAGCTTCGGTGATGGAGGCAGCACACGGGCAGCAACGGGTGGAGTAGAGGTGGCATGGACGTCGATGCAGTGCAGACGGACGGCGTGGCAGTGACGACGGTGAAGGTCAGCGGAGCTTCCCGTCGCTGGCTGCACGCCCTCTTAGATCGGTCTAGGGTTTGTCGGTGGGGTTTGCGGCTCACGGCGAACCTCGTGCTTTGAGCCACCGGCCCCCCACCTCTTTATATAGCGCAGTGCGACGGGAGCCCACCAACCATGTAGGGTTGGGCGCCCCCGATCAGGGCGCGTGACCAAGGCCCAATAGGCCGTTGGGCTTATTGGTTAGGAGATCAATCTAACATTCTCCCCCTTGATCTCACTATTACTTTTATCTTTAAACTTTAAACTTCAATCCTTTTATCCTTAGTCATTTCTTCACAGATGATGCATAGAGCATGTCTCATCGTCACGGTCAATCGCCGATAGATTTAACAGCTACAATACACGTCTCTGATCTAAAATAGTTACTTTAACTTTTGGGCCCTTTATAGTCTAGAAATCATAGGCTTTCCCTTAAACCCATGCCGGCTACATGTTCTCTGAACACGTTGGGTGGTAAGCCTTTTGTAAGCGGATCCGCGAGCATCTTTTCGGTACTTATATGCTCAAGACTTATCATTTGATCCCGGACTTTATCCTTCACAACATAATACTTTATGTCAATGTGTTTGGCAGCACCACTTGACCTATTGTTGTGAGCATACTGTACTGCTGGATTATTATCGCAGTATAACTTCAGTGGTCTATTGATGTCGTCAACCACCTTCAAACCGGGTATGAACTTCTTTAGCCAGTTCACCTACCCCGTTGCCTCATAACACGCTACAAACTCGGCATACATTATGGACGATGTAGTGACGGTTTGCTTTGAGCTTTTCCATGAAATAGCTCCCCCTGCGAGAGTGAACACATATCCAGACGTGGATTTTCTATTATCTCCCGCATAATCAGAATCTGAATATCCCACTATATGGAGTGAATCAGATCTTCTATACGTCATCATGAGGCCTTTCGTTCCTTGCAAATAACGCAAGACTTTCTTTACCAATTTCCAGTGTTCTATTCCAGGATTGCTCTAGAATCTGCCAAGTAACCCGGTAACAAATGCCAAGTCGTAGCGTACACACTTGAGCATATTGCAAGCTTCCGACAATTTGAAGCATATGAAACCACTTTCATTTGATCGATCTCATATTGGTTCTGGGGCATTGAAAATCCCCATATCTGCCGCCCTTGACTATAGGAGCAGGTGAGGGACTACATTTGTGCATCTTGAATTTCTTTAAGACTTTTTCTATGTATGCCTTTTTGTGCAGTCCTAATACCCCTTTACTTCTATCTCGGTGAATCTCGATCCCTAGAACGAACGAAGCTTCACCAAGATCTTTCATATCAAATTTTGAGGACAAAACTTCTTTGTCTCCAAAGAGTAGAGTGACATCACTACTAGCAAGTAAGATATCATCCACATATACAGGACAAGGAAGATAAACTTCCCATTCTTAAACTTTGCGTAGACACAATTGTCCTCAACATTATCTTTAAACCCAAAATTCTTTATTGTGCGATCAAACTTCAAGTACCAATTGTCTTCAAGCTTGTTTTAATCCATAAATAGATTTCTTTAGGCGGCATCCCAAACGTTCTTTTCCTTCCATGACAAAACCTTTCGGTTGTGCCATGTAAACATTTTCCTCTAAGTCTCCGTTGAGAAATGTCGTCTTTACATCCATCTGATGTAATTCCAAATCGTAATGTGCCACTAATGCCATTATGATTACGAAGGAATCCTTACACGAGACCGGAGAAAAGTCTCATTGTAATCAATCCCTTCTCTTTGTGTAAAGCCTTTTTGCCACAAGTCGGGCTTTATATCTTTCTATATTCCCTTGAGAGTCAAGTTTTGTTTTGTAGACCCATTTACAGCCTACTGTTTTGGCTCCTTTAGGAATTATCTCCAAATCCCAAACTTTATTTGCATTCATTGATCTCATCTCATCTTCCATGGCCTCAAGCCACTTTGATGAATGATCACTTTTCATGGCTTCTTCAAATGAGGTGGGATCATCCTCTATTTGAAATTCTTCAGTGTTGTATACCTCATAATCAGCAGGAATAGCTGATTTTCTAACTCTTTGAGACCTTTTAGGGACCTCCTCAATTGGCACATTTTCTGTTTGAGGCTGTTGTTGCTCCCCCTCATGTGTGGCAATAGGTTCTATAGGATCCTGAGGCATAGGGTCCTCATCATCATTCATTGTTGCCACAGGCGGGATAACAATAGGTGCTGTCACCACAGTGTCTTGTACTGTCGGTGTAGCAACAGCAGGTAGTGAGAAAAATAGCTCATGAATGATCGGAGTGGGTGCATACACCCGCTTCTCTTCAAGGTCAATTTCTCGAGCTACCATGCTCCCCCTAATCATTTCATCTTCTAGGAAGACAGCGTGTCTCGTTTCCACAAACTTTGTATGTCTATTAGGACAGTAGAAACGAAAACCTTTTGACTTTTCTAGGTAGCCAATGAAATGGCAACTCACTGTTTTGGGATCTAGCTTCCCAATATTTGGGTTAAAAACTTTAGCCTCAGCAGGGCTCCCCCACACACGCAAATGGTTAAGTGAGGGTACTCTTCCTGTCCACAACTCATACGGTGTTTTGGGCACCGACTTACTTGGTACTCTATTGAGAATATGAATGGCGGTTTTTAACACCTCCATCCATAGACTCATCGGTAAAGTGGAGTAACTTATCATACTACGCACCATATCCATCAGGGTACGGTTACGCCTTTCAGCTACTCCATTCTGCTGAGGTTCGCCCGGTGTTGAATACTGGGCGACTATACCATTCTCCTGTAAGAACCTTGCAAAAGGTCCAGGAACTTGTCCATATGGGGTATGCCGACCGTAGTACTCTCCCCCACGGTCAGACCTGACTATCTTAATCTTTAAATCATGCTGATTTTCAACTTCTGCTTTAAATATTTTGAATTTATCCAATGCTTCTGTTCTTTCTTTAATTGGATAAATGTAGACAAACCGAGAGTAATCGTCTGTGAATGTTATGAATGAATCATAACCATCCACACTTTTCACAGGAAAAAGGACCACATATGTCTGTGTGAATAATCTGTAGAATTCCTGCGCTTCGTTTGGCATCTTTCTTAATTTTCTTTACATACTTTTCTTTTATGCAATCTCTACATTGTTCTAAATCTGAGAGCTCTAATGGAGGAAGAATATTATTTTTAACTAGTCTTTCTATGCTCCCCCTCGAAATATGGCCTAAACGACAGTGCCATAATTTCGACAACGCAACGTGAGCTCTCTTTCGTTTTCTGTTTCCATTGTTCGATGAGGATACATTTTCATTCACATCACATACGGAATTCACATTTTCACGAAGTGATAACAAATAAAGCTCGTCTTGTCGGAAGGCAAGACCAACACATTTATTATTAAACAATATCTGACATTTGCCATTTCCAAAATGGCAATCATAACCATCATGGTCCAACTTTGATACACTAATCAGGTTTCTTTGCAAAGAAGGTACATAAAGAACATCTCTAAGAAAAAGTATGAAGCCATCTGGAAGCTCTAGAGGAAGATCTCCAACGGCCTCAACATCTGCTTGTACTCCATTTGCGACTTTAATGAAACTTTCGCTTCTTTGCAAAGTTCTCATCGAACGGAATCCCTGTAATGAATTAGCAACATGAATAGTTGCACCTGAATCAATCCACCAAGTAGATTTTGAAAACTTTATATACAAGGATTCATTTACGAACGTAATAATGTTCTCACCTTTATTCTTCATTATCATCTTTAGGAAATCGGAACAATTCTTCTTATAATGTCCCGTCTTTCTACAATGGAGACACTGGTCTTTTTCCACTGGGAATTGCTTGTTCTGAGACTGTTGCATGGGACCTTTTCCAGATGACTTGGAGGAAGAGCTCTTATTATAGTTCTTTTTCTTATCTTTTAGGTAGTTGACAGAACCACCTTGTGAAACTTTTATTCTTTCCTCCTCCTGCACACACATGGCTATGAGCTTTTCTAAATCCTATTTTTCAGGCTGTATGTTGTAATTAACAACAAAGGTGTCAAATTCTTTGGGCAAAGAAGCAAAAATCAAATGAATAAGAAACTCATCCTTGAGTGCCAAATCCATTGGTTTGAGCTTAGATGCCAGATTGCTCATTCTCAGTATGTGCTCTCTAATGCCACTGTCGCCACCAGAGTACCTTTCTGTAACCAGCTGCTTGATCAGCTGGGTTGCATATGTCTTTGAAGAGCCAGTGAACTGACTCTTTATTCTTTCTAGGTACTCTGTGACCGTGTCACAGTCTGGAATCGAGCCCACAATAGCAGGCTCAATCGTGTTCTTTATCACTGCCAAACACTTCTTGTTGGCAGTGACCCATTTCCTATGCTCAAGGTCATAGGACATCTTTACGGGAGCAAAATCCCGCTCTCTGTTCTGCCATGCAGCATTAGTCTCATCTGTCTCCCTCACTGGTGCCACAGGTTCTCTGGGACACGGTGTGGTGACAACCTAGTCCACCTCAGCGAGGATAAAAGTTAGGTCTATCTTTTTCTTCTACTCAATATAGTTATCACCTTTTAGAGTGGGGATCTCTTTGATACAACTCATCAAGTTGTATCCTCCTAAAAACACAATTCAAATAGTGTGAGAACAGAAATAACAACAATAATTGCATGCCTTAGTTTAACGTTGGTCAAAATTAAAACATACAATTATTTTATACATTAAATCTACATCACCGTTGGGCAGAAATAGAAATAATGCATAATCATTAAAATTATAATATTGCTATTAACAACGTTGGTCAGAAAATAATAATATCATAATCAACTCATATTTTATCTCTAGGCTCTTAAAATCAAATTCTCCCGTTGGTTCGAATTTAATTAAAAGTCCATAATTACTTTAAATACGCAGCGGAAAATTTAAATATGCCCATAATTATTTTTCCAGAAACTCTTAAATATTGCACTGTTCTCTGAACAAAATTATCGTTGGACAAAAATTGCACAAAGATTTGCATCTTCCAATTGAAATTCATCAAATATATATATTTCTGGAAAAATAAAAAGAAAACATGAGCTGTTTCTATTCATTAGGCCATTTCGGCCCAGCCAGCACACGCGCGGCCCAGCAGTGCGTAGCCACAGCGCGGCCCACGGCCTGCTCGGCGGCACGCGCGCGCTCTCTCTCCGCGCCCAGGCCGCAACCTGGGCCTGGGCCGCGAAACCGTTTGCCCGCCTGGGCCTAAAGCCGGTCCGGCGAATCCTGATCGCTAGATCGGATCGGACGGCTGTCCGGCCGTCTCGCCCGAACAAAACCCCCCGCCGGCCACCTCTCCCTGAACCCTAGCTGCATTTCCTCTTTCTCCTCTCCTCTCCCACGGCGACGCTATTGAATATGAAGGGAGCACGCGACCACCTCATCACCGGAGAAGAAGAGAGGACGACACCGGTGCCAAGCCCCTCGCCGGTGCGCGCGCTCGCCCATGGCAGAGCGCGCCGCCGTCGAGCGGCTTTGGACCACTGTCCTGAGCCACGGCCGAGCCGGGCCTCTGTCCGCGCGCCAACCATGGCGGCGGTGACCACCACCCGCATGGTGGTAGCTTTCTGCGCGACGGCGGTGTCGGGAGGACCGGGTAGGTTCCCCTCTTCATCCTTTTCTTTCCCCTTTCGGTTTCTTTGATTCGGATTTTGGCCCGATTTACCGATTAGGGTTAGGGTTAGGGTTGGGATGGCCACTGTTTACTTTTTCCCCGATTTGAAATCGGTTCTTTCTTTTCTCAGTCAGTCACCGAGCGGTCGCCGGATCCCGGCGTGGTTCTTTTTCTTTTTCAGTCAGTCCCCTTCCTGGGTTAGGGTTAGGGTTTGATTTCTTTCTTTCCCCGATCCAGATCTACCGCTAGAAAAAGGCTCTGGTACCAATGTTGATTTATGTGGATCGACTAGGGTAGATCTAGGCTGGTTTCCTTTGAATACGGGATGAACAGAGAGGAAGGAACGGAGAGACGAGGAGAGAGGTGTTAGTGTTTAACCTAAGTCCTCGGAGGGAGTCGTGGAGCTGGCCATCTCAGCTTCGGTGATGGAGGCAGCACACGGGCAGCGACGGGTGGCGTAGAGGTGGCACGGACGTCGATGCAGTGCAGACGAACGGCGTGGCAGTGACGACGGTGAAGGTCAGCGGAGCTTCCCGTCGCTGGCTGCGCGCCCTCTTAGATCGGTCTAGGGTTTGTCGGTGGGGTTTGCGGCTCACGGCGAACCTCGTGCTTTGAGCCGCCGGCCCCCTACCTCTTTATATAACGCAGTGCGACGGGGGCCCACCAACCATGTAGGGTTGGGCGCCCCCAGTCAGGGCGCGTGACCAAGGCCCAATAGGCCGTTGGGCTTATTGGTTAGGAGATCAATCTAACAGCACGCGCACGAGGACTCGATATGGAGCATCAAGTTCAGCCCCGACGGCCGGTTCCTCGCCAGCGGCGGCGAGGACAGCGTGGTGCGCGTCTGGGAGGTCTTGAACGTGGACGCCTCCTCGTCCGCCGTGGCGCAGGAGCTCTCCACCTCCCTTCCTCCGCAGACACCGGCTGCATCCACGGACGGCGGCAGGTCAGCGGCGTCGCCCGGGCTGGCGGCGCAGTTGTCCGGGAAGGTGAGGAGGGGGAGGAGCAGCAAGGACGTGCTCCCGGAGCACGTCGTCGTGCCGGAGTCCGTGTTCGCGCTCGCCGAGCAGCCGTCGTGCGCCTTGGAGGGCCACCAAGACGACGTGCTCGACCTGTCGTGGTCCAAGTCCCAGGTTTGCATGCCGTTCCACTCAGCTTACCATTGTCGCCGCTGATTGCTGCTGCTCCGTAAGCAGAGGGCGTAAGCGTGACGTGCCGTGAGCGCCATTGTTGGTTGCAGCAGCTGCTGTCGTCGTCCATGGACCACACGGTGCGGCTCTGGGACGTGGTCACCAAGACGTGCCTGAGGGTGTTCCCGCACAGTGACTACGGTGAGTTCGATAGCCTGCACTTAGTCTGCAGGTTGCCTTTGCATAGCGACTGATCTTGATTGTGCGCGCCATGAACGCCGCAGTTACCTGCGTGCAGTTCAACCCGGTGGACGATGGCTACTTCATCAGCGGCTCGCTTGACTGCAAGGTGCGCATCTGGAGCGTGCCGGACCGGCAGGTCGTCGACTGGAGCGACCTCAACGACATGGTCACCGCGGCGTGCTACACCCCAGACGGGCAGGTACGTTGCCTATGTATGCATCACACACACTCGTTATTGCATTGCACCAAACTACAAAGCAAATTCCAAAATGTTCATGTCACTGATATATAGCTGATAGTTTTCACCTTTTCAAGGCTGCGATTATTGGGTCGCACAAGGGGAGCTGCCGATTCTACAAGACAACAGGTTCGTGCAGAATTCTGATTCATTCAGTCTTGCATTGTGCTGAACTTCTGACAAGCAATTGGTTTGCATGTCAGATTGCAAGCTTAACCCGGAGGCACAAATCGACATGAGCATAACAAAGAAACGCAGGTCGCAGGCCAAGAAGATCACAGGATTCCATGTATGTCCATTACAGTTACAGTTATGTCAGACTCTTTGTCTGAAATCAATCCAGTGAGCATTCCATGAGCTCATCTGTAGTTCCATTATCCAAAAGAAAAGTTGCATTGGTTGTGTAGTTTGCGCCGGGGAACCCGTCAGAAATCTTGGTGACAACGGCGGACTCGCAGATCCGGGTGTTCAACGGCATCAGCGTCCTCCAGAAATTCAAAGGTACGCAGCCATGGCGGCGAGCGCACGCCCCAGCCTTCCCTTGCACGCATCAAGGACGCCATGCACGAACTCCGCAACCCAAAAAGGGAACCCGTCTTTCTTCCTGCCAGGCTTCAAGAACACCAGCAGCCAGATCTCGGCGTCCTACACCGCCGACGGCCGCTACGTGGTGTGCGCCAGCGAGGACTCAACGTCTACGTGTGGCGCCGTGTCCCGGCAGCGCGCCAGCGGCGTCGGCGGCGGCGGCACGGGCGGCAGCGGCAGCATCAGCGTCAGGGCCAAGACGTGGCTGACCAGCCGGTCCTCACGAGTACTTCTTCTGCAGGGACGTGTCCGTCGCCGTGCCGTGGCCCGGTCGCCGTCGTCCTTCCGGCCGCGACGCGCGTCCCCGGGTGGCAACGGCAACGGCAAGAGCGACACGCCCAGGAAGCAGCAGAGCTCGTCCCGCCGCGACGACGTCGTGGGCGGCGCCGGCGGCGGCGTACCGCGGGTGACCAAGTCCGGGCCGATGACGTACCACGGCTGCGGGCAGCTGTGTTGGGGTTTAGTCCCACATCGTGTAGCGATGGTGGGGGAGCACAACATATAAGGCGGAAGAAACCCCCACCTATCAGGCTAGTCTTTTGGGTTGATAAGGCCCAAGGCCTTATATATTGCAGCTCCGGTGGACCTGGGACCTGTGGGAGCGCAGGCTCGTGGTAACGAGCCGGGCCGGCTGTAAGTCAGCTCCAAGATCGTGAACTCGGTGGTCACCACCGGTTCCAACAATTGGTATCAGAGCCGGTATCCATGGTCAGAAAAGCTAAACCCAATAAAAAAAATCTCAAGAGCTGGCTTGCAGCCGGCCCGGCTCGTTACGAGCCTGCGCTCCCACAGGTCTCAGGTCCACCGGAGCTGCAACATATAAGGCATTTGGGCCTTCTCAACCCAAAAGACTAGCCTAATAGGTGAGGCTTCTTCCGCCTTATATGTTGTGCTCCCCCACCATCGCTACACGATGTGGGACTAAACCCCAACAATCTCCCCCTTAGTCACACATATGGCGGGGCACCCGATGTGTGACTAAGGGGAGATTGTTGGGGTTTAGTCCCACATCGTAGCGATGGTGGGGAGCACAACATATAAGGCGGAAGAAATTTCCCCACCTATCGAGCTAGTCTTTTGGGTTGATAAGGCCCAAGGCCTTATATGTTGTAGCTCCGGTGGACCTGGGACTGTGAGGAGCTTGAGCTCGTGGTAACGAGCCGGGCCGGCTGTAAGTCGCTCCAAGATCGTGAACTCGGTGGTCACCACCGGTTCCAACAATTGGTATCAGAGCCGGTATCCATGGTCAGAAAAGCTAAACCCAATAAAAAATCTCTAGCGGCACACATATGGCGGGGGCACCCCGATGTGTGACTAAGGGGGAGATTGTTGGGGTTTAGTCCCACATCGTGTAGCGATGGTGGGGGAGCACAACATATAAGGCGGAAGAAGCCCCCACCTATCAGGCTAGTCTTTTGGGTTGATAAGGCCCAAGGCCTTATATGTTGTAGCTCCGGTGGACACGGGACTGTGGGGGAGCGCAGCTCGTGGTAACGAGAGCGGGGCCTACTGTAAGTCGACTCCAAGATCGTGAACTCGGTGGTCACCACCGGTTCCAACAAATTTTGCACCGGAGCTGTCTCGCCCATGAGTCGCATGATCCTCCAGGCTTGTGGCGGTGGCGCGCGCGGAGGGCGGCAACGCGTGGGGATGGTGTTGGTGACCATGAGCCGTGGCGGCGAGATCCGGGTGTACCAGAACTTCGGCCTGCCTTTGGCCAATCTCTTCCACTAATGGTGATTATGGGTCCCGATTTTGAAGGGAATGAATATTCAGCAGGATAGCCACAGTTTGCTGGGCTTGGATTTGAAATTGGATGAATTTTGCAGCAAGGATAACCTTTCTTCTTCAAGAGGAGATGAACTGATGTACAGGCTGATATACAAGAAGATTTTTTAGAAAAGATATACAAGAAGAATAGAAGTGGAGTACAAATGTGATGCACTATTAACCAATGTATGATGAGCAGATGCAAAGAGCTTTGTGTAAATCTAGTTGGGGTTCCCCTTTGCTATGAAAATAGGTTGTGCTTATGATCAACAAGGAAGAGGCATAACAAAACAGATTTGCTAGATATAACTTTTTTTTGGAATAATATGCTAGATATAACTTATAAGATGACTTAGATTTTGCAAGTCACCAAAAGTTTGAGATAAATTAGCACAACTACGAGCAAAAAAAATGATCCGTGTTATATCCATGGCTATTATCTGAGAAACCGCACATACCGCAAAAGTCTATATAAGCGATCTCCTATTATTTTAAGTATAGATTTTTCTTCTTCCTCTCCAACATATTACTAATATATTTAAAGTCTATATAAGCGGGTTTCCTACATTTTGAGGGAGAGGGATGGGAATGCGTCCTCCTTTAGGCTTTGTTTGGATGCGCATGTATTCATCTAAATCCACATGTGTTGAAGTAGATTGGAATGAAATTAAACTAAGTTCCAATATTCCAATCCACTCTAAGACATGTGGATTGAAGTGGATACACATACATCCAAACAAGGCCTTATAGATTTAGTTTTTGTAGTACTTGTTTCATCTAGGGTTTGGTTTCTAGCGTCAGGTGAGGCGGTGGCGGCTATGGCCTTTTGAAATAAGGTCTATCCCTGCCCCGACAACGTCCAATCTAACACCGATGAAGGGCCGGAGAGAGTACATTTTGTTTGATCTGTTGTGAAAGCCCTAGTTTGATTTTGGTAATTGAGTGCCAACCATGTGGACTAATGCTTTCATTGAGTATGATTGGCTAGAGTCCACTTGATGGTGATGAACAAGGCATAGGAGGTGATGGAGATGGAGATCATGATCACATACATGCAAAAGGTTCATCAAATGGTGAGAAGATGGAGCAAAAGCAAGCCGCATGCAAAGGTATATGATAGGGCTTTGCTTTTGCCAGCCAAGGTGCAATAGAGTGCACGGTTGGATTTAGGATAGATGGTCATACTATAAACACGAGAAATCTTGAATTGCAATGGTCATCTAGTGGCACTAAGTGTGAGCTTCATCTGCATATGCATTGCTCTTAGTGAAGTGGCGAGGTGCATGAGAAAACACTGGGAAACTGTTTGTGAAAAGCTAACTCAAGTGCTAAAATTGTTTTGGTATATGGTTGGAAGAGTTAGCACTTAAAAAGAATAGAAAAGAAAAAGGAGAAGATAGAAGTGCTTCAGGGGCCTTGGAGGTCTTGCTGCTGTCTGGCCCGGAAACTCCGGCTGATTGGGCCAATTTCCAGACGTCCAGCCTTTTGGCGCACGGGCCTGCGGCCCAAATTTCCCAACTCGCGGGTAATTTTCCGAACATCCTCTTTTTGTTGCTGGCGCGGTTCTGCTGTGGCTCTGCGGGCCGTGCGCCTGGGCCCTCGGGCGCGAGTGTGGGCCGACAGGCCGGCCCGACCGTGCGCATGGGGGATCCCCACTCCGGAAAAACCGTGCGCATGCGCGAGTGTGAAATCTAGCCCTTCGGCCAACTCCAACCTGCCAAAAAGGCCTACATCCTATCAAAAAAAAAAAAAAAAAAAGGCCACGTACATGGCGGATCCATCGACCTGCACCTTGAGCCAGTTGATGCACGTCTCGTGCTCCAGCAAGAAGTGCCCCATGGATTTCTGAAGCTGCTGGTCGGTGATCGGCCAGGATGTTTCAGTCCCATGCAAATAGTTGCAGACGACACATTGGCGAGGCTTTTGAATTTGTTAGTCCCTTTGATCACCTCGAACATGGCCGGGTTCCCTACTGGCGCGACCGGCCATCTTGTTCTTGTCCATGCATGGCATTGGCATCAACGATGTTTGCATCAGCGACATCCCAGGGGCGAGCTGCAACGTCTCATCCATGTATATCGGCCACATTTGTATGCTATGGATATGTCAAGATTCAAATTTTTTTGAATGACCAACACATGCATTTTGAATTGATTTCTATGTTTTCACCTGCTAGCAGGTGGTTTCCACTACATATTTTGCCAATTATATAAGCTTATTTACAAAACAGAATTCAAGGCCTAATAAACAGAAGAAGGAAGAAATTACCTAGAAGAGAAGGGCATAGGCTGATCACTTAGGGTAAGGGTGGACGAGATATAGCCATGGATTTCGGGATATGGATATCATGTTGTCTGTTTGCTTGGATAAATAGGGCGTGTCATTTTTCTGTTATTGGTTGGATGGATGAGAGTGGATGAGATGATAATAGTTGACTGATTATGTCTATTATTTAAAAATAATTACAACTAACTATACAGTAATAAATATGCACCGACACTAATTTTGTCATTATAATTATTAATTAAAAATAAATATGTTAATTAGCACTACTGCTAACCTAATAGCCACACAATATGTGCTCTAATTAATATAATAGTACTTATCAAAACTAACTTTATTATTAGAATTACTAATAAATAATATAACATACTAATAATCCTTAATTTATTTGCTAATGACAGCGATAAGAAACACATGGATAGGCTTATGCGCCAGTTTTTTGGTGGCCACTATATCCAGCATCTAGTAAGAATATTCCCTGTCATGGATATCCATATCCAGTGAAACCACCAAAGCAAACGCACCTATCCATGGATGGTCATATCTCATCTAGGGATATCCACCCTACCAAACACGTACACCCTTATTCATTTGAGGCCTGGGGCCCCATTGGGTAGCTATGGTCTGCATGGGTTGGTGGCGAACTTATTCTTTTTTCGTTAAGATTATTCGATAATTATGATTCTGTGATTGTAGCAACCATTTCGTCTTCATTTGTGTCAATCTTGTTAAAAATCTGATCGAGGTGTGGGACTCGAAGAAAAAACCATTTCATCATCTGGATGCACCGGTGGCAGTACTGAATTAATAAGCGATCCTAATAACATATTATTTTCTAGTCACACATACTGCTTTCTAATGTTTCTCCTTTTAATGTTGCACCCGAAGAAGACATTTCGGTGGGACGCAGGTCCCATTCAAGATTGTCGAAATGGAGGGGAAGTACCTAAAACAGCCGGCGGGAAACAATGAATGCGGGTTTTATGTAATGTGGGCAATGCTTCGCTACATCGGTGGGAAATTGGAAGAATCAGATAAGTTGGTGTGTATAATCCCCATTTCATTTATGTCTGTTAATAATTCAACAAAATGATTTACTGATTTCTCTTTGGATATCATCTTTTTTGAACGACAGCGCAAGAAATATAACCATGAAAGGTTGTTAGACATGGAGATCATCGGAGCTGGTAAAATTCATCTTAGCCGAGGTATTGGAAAAAGATGGAGTATTTTTTATTGCACAATCTATGAAGTTCAAGGACCAGTATGGCCCAGAGCGGCTCGCTAGATTATTATAAGAAGTCCAAGAAGCATGCTTCATCTTATCGAATATTTTTTTTATTTTGAGGGATCGAGATCTTGATAAGAACATTTGAACTGTAACCGTAACATTTGTAATGTTTAATAGTGATGGACCTGTCGTCTATGTAGCATATATAAAACGAAACCCGATTCCACAAAAAACTATAAATTAAAATAAATTATAAAACAATAAAATACGAATGGACCATCACTACCGGTTAGCAACAAACCGGCAGTGTTGTCGTAACCATTACTGCCGATTAGAAACAAACCGACAGTGTTGACTTGCTCAACACTGCCGGCTTGAACCATGAACCAATAGTGATGGTTATGACAACACTGCCAGTTTGATCCATGAACCAACAATGTAGGCTTGCTCAACACTGCTGGCTTGAGCCAAGAACCGACACTCTTGAAGCAACCGTCACTGTTGGTTGGGACTACAAACCGGCAGTGTTGTTCAACTGGACACTGCCGGGTGGAGCCACGAACCGACACTGTTGCCTGTAGATCAGTGTCGATTTTTAAGGATCAGCAGTGATGTCAACCCCCCATCACTGCCGGTATGCCACTATCGGTTCAAAATCCGGCAGTGAAGGGGTTTTTTTACGATGCCTGATTTCGTCATAGAAAGGGAGGGTTGCATGATCGTCACCACCGATCTATGATGAAACAAAAATATTGGTTATAAAAAGCGCTCTTCTATGACGGTTTCAGATTCGTTATTAACATTTTCATCATAGAGGTGGATATTTCCAGTAGTGTCATGCAGGTTCCAACCATGGCCGTGCCACGCGTGCTCTGGCCGCGCCGGCCCGCGCAGAGCTCATCCCGCATGAGCTCCTCACAAGAGGTAGAAGGAAAGCCCATGTTTATTTTTTCATTATACCCCTTGATGCATGGGGCCTAGGTGGAAGTGAGATAGAGATGGAGGTGGAGCTATACCAACCACTTTGGCAAATCACAGATCCATGGTAGAGCTACTCAACGGTGGATCCAGGTGAATCTAGGATTCAGATTCACTTTTTCTAGTGGTGGAGCTTTACCAAACAGACCCTTAGGCAATGTGAACATTAAAGTGATCAACACCCTAAGCAAGACATTAGAGCTTCAACAGTGGATCCAGGTGAATCTAGGATTTAGATTCACTTTTTCTAGTGGTGGAGCTTTACCAAACAGGCCCTTAGGCAATGTGCACATCAAAGTGATCAACACCCTAAACAAGACATTGGAGCTGCTATAGAAGACCAACAAGTAAAGCAAGAAGTCCAGGTCACAACATGGAAAAAGCATAGACGTGAAGACACAAGAAAAGAAGCCACACGCATGCGCCGAAAAAGTTCGATATATGACCTCAAACAAGGCACCAAAGAAAGCGGTCCAGGACAATACTTATATAGAGAAGAAATCAAAGCACCAAAAAACTCTGCCTTAACAAAGCTAGGCAACACCGGAACATAACTTCGCATCCAGACAGGTTCTAGGGGAAATAGAGCACATGAAATCTCTATTGTACGTCACTAGAGAAAAAAGGTCCTATCTGG